GGACATATGAGGAGTTGTTCGGCAAGAAAAAATCATGTTTACTCCTTCCTATGTGATATATTTGATTATATCCTAAAACCTTTCCTCAGGCCAATAGAACTCCATGTAAGTATTATATTAAACTTTCCTGTACTGAAGGCATATGCAGTGGTTACCCTGACTAACACATAAAATCCCCAAAACAAAATAGCCCAAGACTTGAGGATTTTTTTGTTTTGTGAATTAGAGACGAAATAAAAATTGCCTAGGCATTAGAAGTGTTATGCATTCATATCTGTAAGTCTTTCTTGGGATTTTCAGATTTCTTATACAAGAATTTTTTTTATGGTCTGAGATATTTCAGTGTTCACTCAATGCCTGAGCTTGAAAATTATCTAATCCTTTTTAATTTTTTCATTTTCAGCTACTTTGCCTTCAGGCACATGGTAGGGCAAGCACTTGCTTTCAATATGATGTTTAACACTTTTTATGTTTTTATTTCAGTTGTCTTGAAAACGTGCTAGTAAACATCCAAACATATTGTAAAGATTTAAAATTCGGGGTGTGTATACATATATCAACAGGAGTTATGAATTATGTATATTGCAGACCTATATAAATTAGATTTTGAAGAACAAGCATCACAGTAGTCAAGCAGGTCATAATAAGACATTCTATGTGAAATGTAAAAACTACCTTGAATAAATTATCCATAAGTTAACATTCTCATTAGAATGACATATTTATTATTTCTGGGTTTATGATGTTGCTTTAATGCATTTTGGCTGACTGTTGTAATGGCATATTAAGAAACCATTTCAGGGCTTTTTTCCCCCAACGGAATTTGCAGACTTTTATTTCCATTTGAACTAAAATAATATAATATTAAAAATAATCACCCATTTCCCAATGTAGAATACTATTTTCTTCTCCCTAGAAATATTTAATTAAAGCAGGATATAACCTTAGTACTTATTTTTCCACAGAATGACTCTGAAATTAATAGTCAATTGTAAGACTAAAAATTGGGAGACTGACAATCAAAACAATCGTAAATGCTTTGTTTATGTGATGAAAATGAGTGATCCTTTAATTCCCTCACACACATTTAACTGATTTCACAGACTTTCTGTACTGCTGTTTAACGTAGTCAAGTGCTTGAGGTTATGTAAAATAAACAATCTTGAGGTCTTATTGCAAATGTTTGCAATTTACGATGTAAACTGATTTGTGAAGAAAAAACAGGATTCTATGTCACTGAAGCCAAAAAGGCATTTTTTCAGAAATCAAAATAGTTCCAAAATTTGATCATTGCATTATACTAAAGTATTACCATCTGAGGATCCAAAAAAGTTATAAATCTGGGGGAAAATTCAAAATAGATGTATGTCAGTTCAGCTCCAAGCAAAGGCACCGATCTTACTGTGTCTCTTGTATCATAGGGTCCTCAACCCTGATGATGTCTTAAATAATCTCTTTTAACTCATTTTTCTCCAGTCATGAATTTTGCAACTCGGGAAGGTTTTCCATGCCCAAAAGATTTGGGGAGCAGGGAGTGGGAGTGTCCTTTATTAATTATATTAGGATTATTGAGTTTCCACCAAAGCCACAGGCATTTTGGGCCTTATTTTAATTTAAAATGAAGACATCCTCAGACCCCTTCTTGGGATAGTTTGGGGAACTCGGGGTTTGGACCTCTTGTTCACACACCGAGGCGCCTGCCCCAGCGTTTGGGTTCTGGTGTTCCGGGAGAGCGGGTACTGCGTGAGCCTGTGTAGGAGCTTGGAGCCGAAGGACGAGGCCCCACAGGGCCATGGAAAGCGGCTTCTCTTCGGTTAGTCTTGGGGGAGCAGAAGCAGGAGGAGGCAAGGGCGCCCCGGGACTGGTCCCACAGGCCTTGCCCGACTCGAGCGCTGCCGATGGGGCCAAGAAACTTTGACCTTTCTTGCTGGACCTGGCTGCCTCCGCGGGCCTCTTCGCCTACCGCGCTCCCGCCGCGACCTGACTCCCGCGGGGCTCCGGGCCCAACCCAACAGGCTCTTGTGGCCCAGGACAGTCCAAACCGACCTTCGCCGCCTCGCTGCACCCCTGTCCCGATACCCCGCGCTTCCGCCAGCAGGTCCTGGACCCACCACCTCCTTTGACCTCGGGCTTCCCCCCCCCTCCACCGCATGGTACAGGCTGGCCCCGGCACCGAGCCACCATCTCCCCTGCCCGAGGTTCTCCAGGATCCAAACCCGCCTTGGGATCTGGGTTAGGATTAGGCTTTGGAGCTTGGAGCCTGCCTGTTTGGACCCCCGGCCCCGGCGCCGACTGGAGCTCGCTGGAGGCTACAGGACAGTGGCGGATGGCCCGGCTACTTCAGTGCACACCAAGCCCGCAGGCAGATGTTTATTATAAAAACTACCGACGTTCATCAACCGGGAGACCCTCAAGGCCTGCGCACTGAATAAAGCCCAAATCCTGTTCAGTGGTCTTTTAAAGTTAAAGAAACCTGTCGCCCACGGGTAGGCGGAGGAACAGCTTTGAACACGAACTCAGACCTGGTAGAGGGCCGGGTAGGGGTGACGGGGAACACTGCTGGAAGATGCGGGGCTTTGTAGGGGTTTTTACGCACCCTCCAGCACGACGGTGGTGGGGGGGGGTCCCAAGGGACGCTTAGGAGGACCCCTTTAGTCTTCGCAGAAGGTCCCGTCGTCCCAAGAGCCCGCGCGGGAAGGGCAGGTCCTGTTCCAGACCTGGTGTCCCAGGCCGAGTCTTCAAGGTCGCCGTCTACTCCCACACAGACAGCACCTTTGGGCTTTACTAGTGGGATTTCTTTCAGAAGAAGGGGGCCACGAAATGGGGGGAGAGAGAGAGCTCCTCAGTATTTTCAAGGCAAGTTTTTTTCTAAACCCGATTCTGGCTTCCACCTTCTAAATTTAACCAATGAAGAAGCTGCTTCAGCCAAAGCCTTATACAGGAATGTGAGGTGGGGGATCTGCCCTCTACAGTGCCCCCACCTGCCCCCCTTAGCGGCTCTTTTCCTGCTCAGAAGTCAGCACCTGCTCGCTGCAGAGGGTCAACGACCTGGGACTGATTGTCGGTTATGCCATACCAAACCCAGGTAGATTTCGCACCGTTTGATCCCTCTTTCATTCCTCTCAAAAGTGTCCCCAAATAAACTTAAAGGTTGAAATTACAGCAAAATGAAGAACAAGAGTCCATCATGGGGACGGGAGTTATTCTATCCTACGTTATTTTACTTATTATCTGTTCTTTCATTAGTTTAGCATAATCCGGTGGATAAAATGGAGGGGTCGGGTGGGTGGAAATGCACTCAGCGATAGCGACAGCCACAGAGCCACCCTTCTTACTGCTCCTTGACTGCCGCACGTAAGAGCAGAGGCAAGCGCTTTTCCAAGTTGGTACATTCGAGAGAGATACGCATTAATCAAAAGGAAAAAGGGAAAGACTATCCCGGATATTTTAATAGTAACAGGAACAAAGATGACGCAAACCCCATCAAATGAAACAATATTTTCATTCAATTGATCGCAAAGTATCTTCAATTAATAACTTGGCACTTGTTTAAAAGGTTTAACAGAAGTGGAGCCGAAACGTTTTGTACTGACAACACGTCATGAGATAACAACATCTTTTGTTTAAAATAACTTAATACACTAGAAAAAAATATGTCAAATATAAATAATTTTGTTTTCATGGAGAACAAATAGTTACAAAGCTCAACCGCATACCAAAGTTCAGTTAGAAGAGCTTTTCCTCTTTCTTGTAAATTAGAAGGTAAAAAACCCACAAACTTAGGCTTGTTATAGCAGTGGGATACAGATAGGCTTAGTCCAAGGTATCCCAGTTTAAATAGCGACATGAAGTGAAACAAACAATCAAAAAAGAAAAAAAAAAGTTACTTGAATAGATACACCTTTGTGAGATAAAATGCAAATGTTGAAAGTCAGTCCACACATTATAGCCAAAATAAACTTTGTTCGTGTGTATCAACATATCTTACACAAACCTAGTGCCTGTATCTAGCTGGGTGTTATTTAAGGTGAATTTGACGGGATAGAGAGGGGGAAATCAAGCACTGTCTTCAAATAGGACTTCAGGAAACGAACAAGAAGGGATAGGAGAAAAGGGGAATGGTGGGAACTAACATTGATTGAGCTCCTACTGTGTCTGGCACAGCGAGGCGCTGTACCTTCATTATTTCATTTCGTGGTCTTGTTTTCTTTTTCCTTTCCCCACATATTCTGCCCACCTCTGTCTGTCTTCTTAGGACAAGGAGTATAATTTTTTCCCTTTCTGACTTTTTCTTTTGTTCCCCAGGATCAAAGACAGGGCAAATTTATACATATATATATATATATATATATATATATATATATATATATATATATTTCCAGATGCTTTTGTTGTTGTTTTTCATAGTGAAGATGAAAATGGAGTAAGTGCATGGGAGTTAAGGGGGTGGGAGGAGGACACACCATCAATGGAATACAAGCAACATGCAAACCGGAATTTACTGTCAGTAGTTCGGACAGTTTTGCCATAATAGTTTCTCAGAGAAATCATTGTCTGTGGCATATTTTTTGTGTTAATATTATTTTTTTCTCTCCTCGTTTTAATATTTTCTCTTTTCTTGCTCTTCCATACATGGTGGGTTTAAACTCAAAGCATCTGATTCAACGTAAAAGGAGGCCCGCCTCTCTTATCAAATTTCTCGTATTAACGTGAACTTCGCAGAAAAAGGTCAGTTTCAAAACCTGTGAACTTCCCAGCTGCGCACTTTTTTCATCTTGGCTTTTTAAATAAGTATACCTCTTCTTTCTGCTTTGCCTTCTTAGCGCATTTTAAAAAACACACATATTTAAGTTGGTAACTGCCCCACATTCTCTCGAGATTCGTCTGGGTTGTTTTTCCATATTTTTAAATGTATAAAATACTTTAATTTTAAAATTTGTTTTTGCTCCTTGGTTCTACAGTTTAAGCTTCTGCCAAATAGCAATAAGTTCACTTTCTCCTTTTCTCTCCGGTTTGTCTTTCAATTTTTTTTGTTTGCTCACTTTTTCATTTTTAACAAGATTTTGTTTCTATGCAAGAGTCCATCGTTGCAGCTTTGTGGTGAGCCATACTTCGCAGTTCCACCACTCCCTTGTCCAGTCTCTCTCCAGACTCCCCCAAACCCGCTCCTACAAAACCGAATTCTACGCCCTCGGGTAGGAAAATGGGCAGGAGCCACGGAGCCTGCGTGCCTCGTGGGATCCCTGTTCCTGCGTGAAGTCCGGCTCTCCAAGTCCAGGATGCGAAAGGGGACAAGGGATGGTCAGTGAAGCGGAAAGAGGGCTGGCTCCCGAGCTCTGAAAGGGGTAACCGAGAAGCAGCGGGGCGCGGAGGGCGTGCAGGCTGAATGCCGCGGGGGAGGCGCGACGCTGGTGCTGGCGCTGGCGTCACAGACCCAGGGCTGCCGCGTGCTTTTTGGCTTTCAGTCTGAGATCGGCGATGCTGGAGTTCTTGCTCGTGGTCTTGGCGGCTGCGGCGGCCGCCACTACCGAGGCGGCGGAAGCCGAATCCGCGGCCAGCGTGGCGAGCGGCAGTCCGAAGGGCGGTGCTGGGAACATCATGTAGGGCGCGTGCGCGGCCAGGTGCGGATGCAGGTGGTGGTGCGCGTGCGCCACAGCGCTGTCCAGCTGCAGCTGCGCCTGAACCTGAAAGGACAAGGGCGTCACGTTGCAATGACTATCCTAGGGTGACAACAGAATAGAAACAGAGCATTAACGGAGTCCAGCTTGGCTAGAGAGAGAGTTGGGTTGGGTTAGGGCACGGGGAGAGGGCGTTTGGCTGTGCATCTTGTTCCGACAGTGACCTTCTCAGCCTGTTGCTGGATCTGGGGTTCGATACGGATACTCCAGTGCCCCCCGAGTCTCCGAAACTCGCTTAGCGTGGGCTTATTTCCCTGCACCCCGGGAACCCCCATCTGCAGGAATGTGGCAGCCTCTCGAGAACTGGGCTGAAATGGTATATTGGAAAGACTGAGGGTGAGGATCCTTACCCTCTTCTCCTGATGCTGCCCTGCACCTCTTACCCCACTATCAAAACAACGGAGTACCAACAAGCAAACTACCCAACTTCTTCGTGTCATTCAGGGAAGTTATTCCGTCTTTACCACAACAGGCACAATTGTGAGTCGGTACTTATAACCTTTACTGCCATAAGAATTACCCAGGGATCTCGTTAGAATTCAGATTCTGATTCAAAAGGTCTAGGTTGGGGACCGAGATTCTGAATTTCTAACAGTCTCCCAGATGGTGTTGTTTCTGCTGGCCCAAAGATCACCTTTTGAGTAGTAAAGGTCTCCTTTTAAAGTCAACCCTCTCTCTTTCTTCAGTCATTCTCTGGTTTCCAAAGCCCAGCATCAGGATGCCAGGGTCCTGTGGCACCAAAAGAGCTAAAGTCTCCCTAATACTGACTCTCAATACATGGGCACACCTAGGAGTCTCCCCAGTCGAAGTCGCTGGAGACAGAGCTAATTTCTGACATCATAGCCATGCCAAGCAGGGGTCCTGGCTGAGGATGGGGAAAGTCAGATACTGGTTGGGAAAGGATTTTGCCCTCAGGCTTGGAGAGTGGGGAGCTCAGAACACTAGGATTTCCCAGGATTAAATCATTGCTGCAGGCTGTACTTTAAAAATGTACTCTTAAAGGTTTCTTTATGGCTAAGAAAGGGATTGCAAAGGCAGGGCAGCCCTGGGAAGACCAAGACTTTTCTCTTTACCAGAGATCAAGCTTTGTTTCCAGAAACAGATTTAAAAACAAAGAAAAAAACAAAAGTATGAGCTGGGAGTACTTGTGTGTATTAATTTTTCTTCTGTTAGAGTTATTTAATGTGACTAAGAGACAGAAAATATTTAGAAAAATATCTAGAGGATTGCCTTAGAAATACTTTAGGACTAACCTTTGTATTGGATTTGACAAAATCTTAATCAAAAGGCTTTTCCTTCCTCTCTCTCTAAGTGCAATTTTTAGGTGCATTTTTAAAGGACCAGTTACTGTCCCCAGGCCTCTTCAGGGGTTCCCATGAGGACAGAAGTGACTAGGCATATGGACCCTTAATGCTGTATAGGTTTTTAAAGGGTAGTGGGTCCACTATGTCATCTCAAAATAGATTCTCCAACCGTGCAGATGCTGACATCTGGGATCAGAGACAGGTGATGTTCAACAGTTCAAGCAAACATTCAGGTATTTTTGTATTTAAAAACAGCTTGAAACTAGGATGTACTTGCCTGCTGAAATGGCATTCTTAAAGCACCTACGTTGACATAGGGTGCGACTCTACAAGCTTCAAACTGGCTGGCGGCCCCTATGAGAACACCTGTAAAAAATACAAAGCAAAAGAAAAATAATGTGAGGTTAACATTTCTAGCATTTTTCAGGGTTTCAAATGGTACAAGATAGAACTAATTCCTTTGAAACTGGACTATTAGCTTTCTAAAGTGCTTCCATAATTTAAATAAATATAATTTACTACCAATCTTTAGGACTCTTATTAATAGCCCTTGGAGATTATGAAGTTAAGAACCATTGTCATTTTTGAGATTTCTTTTTCTTCTGTCTTTATAATAGTAATATTCACGACTTCTCTCTTTGCTTAGACTATGAAATGTTCCTTGCATAAGAAGGATACCTTTATGGAGTTGATTTTCTTGTTTTCTACATTTAGCTCTTCGATTTTGAAACCAAACCTACAGGATGGAGAAGGAAAGAAAATAAAACCTAGATGTTATAACTAAAAAAAATTGTTAATTACAGTATTACAAAGAGAAAAGAGTCATGCTATAGACAAGAATTGGGAGATACATCAAGCAGTCTTTGAATTATAAAAAACAGCCTCAATTTCCAAATTAAACATGTAAATTAACTACAGTAATAGATAGATTTTATAGACTTTCACAAGATAGATTACTATTAGTCCTGGTTTAATCTTTTCACATAACAGAGTCCCCACAGCCTAAAACTCTGCTTGGTACCTGATACCAATATGATAATGTGTTTAGATATTTGCCCATTTAAGACCTGAGAAGAATGTGCTCATTAATAGCCTGTAATGTTAATTAGCTTCATCTTAAAGAAAAACTAAACACCAGAGCAAATAATAACTCTTTTGGGGAGAAGGAGTTGTAAGGGTTGGGGAGAGGTAATTAGTGTCATAAAAGCCTCACTACAAAGAAGTTTAGAATTTCTCTGTTCCTCTGTGCAGCAGAGTGAAACACAGTGGCAGAATAATTGTGCACCATTATCATGATAATCTAATTTGCTTCTTTAGAAAAAGCCACTGCTTGCAGTTAGGATACTAGGAAAACATCTAGAAAATAACTAATGTAAATAAAAGTATGAAACAATGATAAAGTTCACTTCTTAAGAGAAAAAAGAACACTCAGTGAAAGGAGAGTGTGGTATGTATGAATTAAGTAACTCCAAGGTACTTTGTTCTCCTGGATGTTACCTTCTTAAACTTGACAACTTTTACAGGCAGTATGACAGATTTTTAAAAAATTCATGTAAAGCTTGCTTTTGTACTCCATTTTCAATAATAAAGTGTATTGACTGACTCACAAATTAAAGTTTAAAAAACCCCATTAAAGTAAAAATACTGTGTCAGAGCTTTTATTGGTATGTTTTTGAAAGTAAGTGTCATAGTCAATGTAAATCTTCAAAAATTTCTCTGCTATTTAGTATAACAGAAGGGTGGATTTTGTGCCAGGGTGGCATCCTTTGTGTAATTCACATGGCCTGAGGCTTCTTGCCTTTTTTTCCCCTAGAAGAGTTGGAATTAAGATACTAATAATCTTAACTGTAATAATTATTACCATATTTTTAAGGGGTTGCTGAGCCTCTGGAGATCTCAGTGCATACAGAAAAGCAGGAGAGGCTTAAAAAGGAAGGCTCTGCTGCTGATGCTGTGATGAGCAAGGCAGCCTATTATTACTTTCCTCTTCAACGTGACTGCTCTGTTTTTTGTTTTTTGTTTTTTGTTTTTTTCCTTATCCTATTACAAGATGCGGGGAAGCCCCTTAAGAATTGCGCATAGTTCGCTACAGATGGTGGTCTCTGTGCCCAGAGACCGAGGGAGTATCTGTTACAGCGATACTTTGTAACATCTGCAGATGTGCGGGCCTAAAACTACTCCATGTGTTCAAACAAATAATGACTATCATTTTCTTCTATTTTATTATTTGAGTGGAAATACAATCTGAAACATTTAAATTTGTTCCCCCTAAAGCTAGAGGATATGTGTATGTGAATGTACACAATTTGCCCCTTTAAATGCCCCCAAAGCCTATTTTTGCTATTACATTTGCCTCCACAACCAATAAAGAAAGTCTGTTTCAATCCTAACTTTATTGGGTATGGCACGTGCTGGGGGCAGGCTTTGGAAATATAAATACTAAGATATGTGATTTGTTTTAAAATCGAGTTTCTTTAGGGTCAGGTTCGTTGCCTTGGTTAAAAGAACGAACAAAGAGTGACCAAAATGCGTTTATTTCTCTGCTATTTCGCACACAGTTTGAGATCAACCGCTAACAGCAGACTGTAAATGTCTACACTTAACAGTTACTAATTTTCTTTATAGTCTGCACATCTATAAACCTAATTGGCATATCCGCTTGACAAACCTAGATCCCGCAGAGCAGACCTTCAACGAAACCCAACTCCGGAGAGCAAAATACTCCTTGGAACTTTTAAGGCATCCAGAGATAAAACGTTTTCTGTGGGATTTTTTTTAGCCTTATAAAAGTAGGCCCATTAGGATTAAACCACATTAAAGCCAGTGTAAGGCGAGGGGGGTGTGGTTTATAGAAACTCTGGGAGAAAGCTCAGCACAGCTTTCTTCTGCTGGGAACATATGTTAGGATGGAAAAAAAGGAAGGGGAGTGCTATAGGACTAAGATCTGCTTTGGAAAATAAGACCTCTAGTAAAGATATCTCTTTCCTTCTCATCTTACACCAGACACTAGAACCACCACCTCCCGAGTGCATCCTCCAAGCCTCTTTTCAACCCCAGGCCCTTTCAGCTCCCGGGGCCCTCGACCTCCTGGCAGCTGGGTACCTGCACTCGGGCCTCTGACAGGCCCAGTCGCTGGCTCAGCTCCTCTCGCATGAAGGCGTCAGGATAGTGGGTCTCGTCAAAAAGCCTCTCCAGCTCATTGAGTTGTTCCAGGGTGAAATTGGTCCGACTTCGCCTCTGCTTGATTTTGGTCTGGCCTTCGTCCTCCATCCCTTTCGCATCCTCTTTGCGATCTTTCAGCTCCGGGGACACTGGAGGGGGCACCCCAGCGGGGCCAAATGTGCATCCATGCGCGCGCGAGCACACACACACACACACACACACACGCACACACGGACAAAAACAGCACAGCAAATTCCGTTACCAGATTTGTCGCAAAAAAGGATAGAGATTCTTTCCCCCTTGTGGAATCCTAGTCCAGCTTCTCACCCCACCCGGAGGAAGAATATCCCGGAGAAGCGCAAAGGTCAAGTCTGAGCGGCTGCCTGGGTGGGGTAAGGTGGACGGACAGTCATCCACCCACCTCCTTCGCAAGCGTGCCTCGACTCACCGCCTCACTATTCACCCCACAGTCCCTTGCCTTCCCCAGCAAACACCAAATGCTTTTCACTCACTTTCACACTCACTTTCTCCCAAGCACTCACAGAAATCAAAAGCTCGGCGCCAGGCCTCTCACAGAACAAGGTCTGGGCATAAGGGCGCAGCAAAGCCATCCACTGGCTTCTCACACCGGCCATTCCCAGAGGGCTGACTCGTTTTCAGGCCAGCTCTCACCGCCGCTGCTCTCTGCCTACCGCAAACTTGCTGGTCTAATTTGGGAACAACTGGGCCGAAGGGTAGCAGCAGGAGAAACAGATCCCGCTGTTGGGCGGCACAGGGAGCCGCATCCGCAAGCGCCCCTCATTGCCCCAGGGCTTGGGCCAAACCCTGCATAAGGTCCCTGCGCAGCCAGGTAATCTCGGTTCCCACTACCCGAGCCGGGCCGCACAAGCACTGGCGCCCACGCCATGTTGGCGGCCCGAAGGGCTCGCCGCCCACGCCGGGCCAGAAGGCAGGAGGCTGAAAACCAGCCTCCGCTGGCGGGCGAAAGCAACCACTCTCTGTTCTCTCTTCTCCCTCCCTCGTGGAAACGCAGACTCGACCCTAAACGCTTAACCCACAGAGATCAACAGGTTCAAGCGGAATATTCGCGATCCTCGGTTTCTATTGGTTGCTCAAAGCCTTTTCATGCATCCAGCAGCTCGGATGTTTTTTTTTTTTTTTTTTTTTTTTTTTTTTTTTTTTTTTTTTTTTTTTTTTTGAGGCGGAGTTTCGCTCTTGTTGCCCAGGCTGGAGTGCAATGGCGCGATCTCGGCTCACCGCAACCTCCGTCTCCTGGGTTCAGGCAATTCTCCTGCCTCAGCCTCCTAAGTAGCTGGGATTACAGGCACACGCCACCATGCCCAGCTAATTTTTTGTATTTTTAGTAGAGACGGGGTTTCACCATGTTGACCAGGATGGTCTCGATCTCTTGACCTCGTGATCCACCCGCCTCGGCCTCCCAAAGTGCTGGGATTACAGGCTTGAGCCACCGCGCCCGGCTCGGATGTTTAATAAAATATGCATTTTTTTTTTTTCTGCTCTGGTTTTGCACACATCCGCTACCACTTTCCTGTCCTTCTCCTCCCTTTAAAAACAGGAGCTCTCCTAGTGTGAGCATACAGAGCCACCCTGTATATATCCCCCTGGAACCGTTATCTTCCGCCCGAATTGGAGACTCGGGTTTTTAAGTAGTCAAAGCTGAGTTTAGATAATCGAGACTGTTTGCAGTTCTTCCCATCCCAGGATCCAGGATAGCATGGGTGTTAAAAATCATTTCCGGAAGAGCCTGCCTGCAGAGAAATTAATACTTGCCCTGAGCTTGGAAATCAACAACCCCGGGAACTGCGCCCGCCTGGGGTTCAGACAAGAACCTCGCGGTCAGGCGCGCTGGTGAACCTAGGGCCTGTAGTTGTGGACTCAGGGCCAGGAGGCTGCGCTGGGCACCTTGACAGCAATTCCACCACTTCACAAATTTAGGAAGATCTGGTGCTGGCTTGGAGGAAGAAGAGTCGCTAGATCTTGGCCTTGCCGGGCATTCTAGCTACCGTGATCTAAAGTATTGCCGTATTTTTTAGTTCTCAGAGTTCGTTTTGTGGACATTTGTCCTTTCTTTAAAAAGTAAGTGGGTAATATTATAGTAAGCATTATGGAACAATTTAATAGTATTTTTACTGATACTGTACTGAAATTTAAATATGAAAACACACCCTTCAGATTTTGCCAAGAAGGTGAGAAGGCTTTGTCTATTACATGTCATCTACACAGTGGTTGCCACTGAAAGTTTTGGGGCTTCGAGATGTCCAAATTTCAAGTTGATTAATAGACATCATAAAAATCTCTATTTTGTCCCCAAATTTCCACTTAATGATCTAAACAGGAACAGACCGTGTTATAAACAACATAATTGATTGCTTAAATATGTGATTCCACGCATGCCACATATTTTCTTAATTGGAAAAATATGGCAGTACACCAGTTACTGCAGGCACCAAGTGCCAAATTAATTTTATTGTTGAACTCGTTTGAATTGGTATAGGACGCTCTGCCATTTAGATAAAGATGTTTCCCAGCACTGCGCTAGCACCAAAGGATTTCTGCTCTAAGAGAACCGAGTACTGGATGATTGCAAACACTAAAGGAATCGTGTAAATGTAGATTCCCACCTTCCCCCACCCACCCACACACCCTAAGAAACCGAAACGCCTGGCCCGGGAAAAGCAGCGTAGCCTGGACCTCAGCTTTCGTTGGCTTCCTTCTACCTTCATAGCTCAAAGAGAATGGGAAGTTTTGGCCCCTAAGATCCAAAGATTCGAGATATCTGTGGAGTCCCAGGGGTCTTGGTGGCCCCAAACCCGGAGGCGACCGGAGGGTTAAGCTTTCCACCTCTGTCCCTTCTCGCTCCCGGCAAACTCCGAGCCAGAGGCTAGCTTTAGTCCAGCCGTCTGGTCCAGCACCCCCTCCTGCAGCCCGGCCCCGCGAACTTCCACGTCTGCCTGCGGGCCATCCGGGCTGCGGGCCCATCTTCTGACTGGTGAAAAATGCATTTTGGTGGAATGGGAACATCTGGGAAGGGCGCGCGCAAACCTTACACGCTTCCCCCACCACACACTAGGACCCCACCCACGACAGAGCGTACCAGCGGACCCCCACCCTTTCACTATCACTCTAGCTTACAAAGCTGGGGTCTAGGGCCCTCTCCGCTTCCCTCCTTCTCCCCGCTGGGCCTCTCAGTCCTTTCCCACCCGAAAGGAGTCGGGAAGGCGGGAAGGGGAACCGCGGCCGGGGGTCAGTCAGGTCTTTACCCTCCGTCAGTCGCGGACTGCCCGGCTCCCTGCTTCTCTCGGCGGCGCCCATGTCCAGCTCCCGGACAGGAGAGCGCCCTCCTCCAGCTCCTCCGCCTGCTCCTCCTCCTCCTACACCTCCTCCGCCTCCTCCGCCTCCGCCTCCGCCTCCTCCGCCGCCGCCTCCGCCGGCCGCCCGGACTGCCGGGCTGCTGCGGTCGTCGCGGCCCGCCTCGGCGCAGCCGGTCGGCTCCTTGGCCCCGCGCAGCGGCCCGCTCTCCAGCACCTCCCGGTACGTGATCGCCTCCTTCTTCTCCTTCACTTTCTGGTCAAAAGACTTGGAGACGAACGCCGTAAGTTCTTCCATCGCCTCCGCACGTCAGCCTGGCGCTCAACCTCTGCCAGCCGAGCCCCGCTCTTTTTTTCCTTCTTCTTTTTTTACAGCTCCAGCCCCCCCAATAATAACACATCAATGGGACAGGAGGTGGGGGAGGAGAAGGAGGAGGAGGAAGAAGAAGAAAAAGAGGAGAAGAAAGAAGAAAGAGGAGAAGTAGAAGGAGGAAAGAAGTAAGAAGAGGAGGAGGAGGAAGAAGAGGAGGAGGGGGAAGAAGGGTGAGGAGAAGGAGAGGGAGGAGGAGGAGGAGAGAAGGGGCGGGGGCCGCCGGAGGGAAATGGGAACTGATGCTTCCCTGCCGGAGCGCGCTTGTTCAATGTTAAGATCTTTGACAATTCTTCCTGCGGAGAGTTCAGATCTGATAGAGACGCTGTGCTTGAAGTCTCACTATTTATACTTCCTAAAGGCGGCCCCTTGTTCTGAGTAAATTACCTCCCCTCGCAACTCGGAGTGAGCCCCCATTCTGGGTAGCAGTCGCCTCTACCAGGGGGTTGGGGAGGAGAAGAGGAGAGAGAGAGAGAGAGAGAGAGAGAGAGAGAGAGAGAGAGAGAGAGAGAGAGAGATTCGAGTTCGGCGGGCTGGTGCTGGAGTGGTAGGGCAGCACTGGGGGACTGGAGGGGGCGGGGAGAGACCAGTCCGCTCAGGTTTTCAGATAGCCCCTGCTGCCTGTGCTCTTGGTCATTAATTCAGGATTGACAAGAATCCCTAATTAATTTAATTAGGCGTGGATTTTGTGTTGGTGTCACGACTTAGTTAAACACTGGGGAGCTGGATAGACCCCGCGGGGTGGGGCCAAGAGGAAACAGACAAGTGCACAGTTCTTGGAGTCAGTCTGCTATCCCGACTCGGCATCCCTTCCTACAGCCTTGCCTCGAGCCAGGGTGCCGCGCAACTGCTCAGCTTCGCAGTGCTTCTCCTCGTCCCTGCTCTGCATCAACCGCCCTGCAGTTTACAGGCCCCGCACCCCATTCCCGCATCCTGACCTCGCATCCCAATCCTGCACCCCCGCCTCTCCCTCACATCCCCGACCCCTGCAGGCCTTAGCTTCACCGCCCAGCATCATCCTGCCCAGAGTCAGGGTTCTCTGCAGCTTCTCCAACCCACGCAGTTCCTCTTAGGAGTTTCCCGGCTCGCAGGCCGGCGGAGTCCGTGTCTCCTCTGAGCTGCTCGCCCCTCGGTCCGTGTTATTTACTGTACTATTCGTGTCCTGAAGCCCAAGCTGACTCCTCTATGGACAGACCCCGCTAAAAGGGACCGGTCGATTTAACAAGTTTCCCGAGCAGCTGCTCCCTGACAGGTCGCATTTTAAAGTGTTTCCTTAGCGCCCAGTCAAGGACAGCTCGATTTCCTTCGTTTCCTCTTTGAGGTCTCAGAACTCCCCACCCTTCTCCCTTACTCCCCGCACCGGATCCCTCTATGGTGAACTACAAGACTTCTTTAGCATCTTGGGAAACAGCTGAGTTGATTTCCTAATTTGAAAAACAAGAGATTATCCCTCTTCTAGTCTGAACAAAAAATTGACCTTAAGTTTGTAGCCCGTCTAATTTAATGTATTGCGGAGTGCTAAAAAAGAGACGCTCGCCAGGAGTAAAGGTCTCTCTCTCTCTCCCACTCACGATTTTAAATTCTGTTTCTGAACTATTTTTATCGGAAGGGGTTTTTATAGAAGAGAAACATCTATATTCCTGAGTCATTTGTCTGTATTGTGCAGGACAGGGCGTGCTGTGAGAAATGTGGCTATGCAAATATATACTCACAAAAGAATATTTACGTATGATAAGTTATATTTAAGTGTTTAAACACATATGCCACTTTAAGTGTACCTTTGGAGACATTTTTAAGCAGTCTGAATATTAACACAGACTTTCTGGAAGTTAAAGGTAACTTGATCATTATTTTGAATCTAATACTCTTAGTAAAAATAAGAGGAATTACAGAACATTGATATGTGTATCTTCCATCCATTGGTTAAGGCATCAAAATAAGTTAGCAGATAATTTGAGAAGTTCTGTCAAAACAACCTGAAACACTTGTAAAAAGAGAACACAGTTATAACTTGATATATTAGTGTTTTTCAAGTAGATGCAAATAGTACCTGGATATAATCTTATGTTATACTGCAGCACTCAGATTAAAATGTTCACATTTGATGAATTTAAGGATTATGTATATCATGCTTTTTAGAAATGTTGTTTTGCTTTTTATTCCTTTGAATTCTGAAGTTATCTTTCCTTCTGAAAACATTTCATTTTTTGCTACTTTTCAGAGAGCTAATGTCTTTGATTTTTCAGCAGCTATAGCTTTTAGCTATTAATACATTGTATTGGTGTTTTGTTACACCACAAAAGGGACTCAAATACTCAAAGTTTCCAAAGTTATATGAATTTAGAAACAATTTCACATTGAGTCGTGGGTTACTATCCGTTACTACTTTAATTCTGAAATTATCAGAGGAAAATAATCATAAAACTTTAATCCTTTATGAAAATCTGTTTTTAAGATTATTTAGCAGAAGGGCCAGTAATGGGTGAGCTAAGTGGATATGGTGCTCAAAGTGCTCTCAAACTGAGATGTTAAATGTGTATTCACAAATAACTCAAAAATAACCACTGTTAGAAGTTGGCTAAGGGATCAGGAGACCCACCAGCTACTTGTTTGCCTTTTTAAACACATGACTTTTAGGTTTGAACTCATATTTCATCTACTGAGCTTGAGGGAAAGATGACCAGTTTAAAGGTAATCAGCAAAGTCACAGACACAACTGTTGTGTAATTCAAACCAATAGACTTTCCACGATCTCAGCTTATTGGCTCATTGCATATTTAGGAATAGTAGTGTTGATAACAGATGGAGCTATGAGAAATCTTGAGTGTCTGACCACAGATTCCTACTGACCTAAGTGAAATTTACTTTTAAAAAGATTCAAGTTTTTAAAATCACATACTAATAAATGCTCACAAAGTTCCGATGACGTTGTTTCATTAAACAGTAAATATTTTCCAGAGACAGGACATTTCAAAATGTAGTTTGGGTAAAAACGCATTTATGGTAAAGCTCAGCTGACAGTCTGCAGACAGATACACAGGTTCCAATAAAATTCAGGACCCCAAGGGTTTCCCCAGCTCTCGAATTATTTAAAATAAACGTGTAGTGTTGTAGTAGTTAAGTTTTAAAATAGTGCCTCAAAATGGACTAGTTAAGGAACATTATTTAATGAAAAATATATTGTGGAGGTGATTTTTAACCGTCTCAGCTCTGTGGAAAACTGTAGCTTGGTTATCTAGCAGTGGTGAATGAGTTGGCTCTCACAGTCGGCCAAAATCCAGGGCAACAATTTATTTATCTTTGTAGCTTTGCTAAGAGTAAATGAGGAAAAAACAATTTTCATGTAAGGAAAAATAAGTAATGTAGCATGAATTACAGAAAATGCTGAGTCTCTTTAATTTCTATTGGTTTAAATAAAAAAAAAAAAACCATAAACCTGTAAATCTGATTTTTCTTTCACAAGAAACGGCTCCCCGCCTCGCCTCAGGCAGCCCTCTCCTATTCCTCTACTAACCAGTTACTTTAATCTGAGAAACTAATTTGCACTCAACTTGTGAGTGCCTTCACCTTCAGGGCAGAAGAAACACCGACTTTTAATGCATTTTTGCAAATAAATCATTACAATTTAATCACACACGACTCTATACAGACACACTCCCATGATTTATTATTGTTGGGCGAGTTTCCCCCTCCCCCAGCATGAGATAACCAATTTTGTTTCGTGTAGGTGTCATAAACACAACTTCCCACGATGCAGATATATTTACTGATTAACCATGACGATAACTACGACTACTAAGACAATAACGCTCTCCAGTCCCACCTTTATTGCTTTTGGTATCAATAAAATCAAAATAAACAAGCACGCAAAACATACGCCAAACAAAAAATTGGCAGCGTTTGCAATCTACTTTCTCGGCATTCCCAGCGCCTGGCAGCCTCCATCGATGCACTCGATATCTCGGCTGACGCTGCCTGGCGCTAGAACCAGGAAGGCGCTGAGCTTAAACTGGAGCAAGTACGTTGGAGGCCGGCGGCGCCCTGATCTGAGAAAAGTCTCAGGGTCTGCGGCGCTTGCAAGTCAACGGAAAGTGTGAGGCCAAAGGTCTGGACCTAGGTGATGCCCGCGACCAGAGCCTGGGGAGCGGCGCCCGGGGTTGCGGGGCTCCGAGGCCCTGCTCGGCGAGAGGCGGCGCGGGGCCTGGCGCAGTTTGGGGCTGGGTGTCTGCAGAGGGGTGGGCGGTGGCCTCGTGGCGTGCGGGGTGTCACCGTGCGCATGCGCCCCGCACCTGGTAGGCTCTCCCTGGGTCTAGGCTGATGGCTGTAGGGTGGGTGGGTGGCTGCAGGCCTCAAGCTTGGCCTTCCGTCTTGAGGACGTGTGGGAGAGTTCGCCGACTCCTCCCCTCGCCCCCCATTCCTGGTTCTTCCTCGCTGCTTTTGGGTTTCCTGGCTCATCTTGCAATATAAGCCTGGCGTTTCCTCACTAGCTCTAGGTAGGGTGGAGCAAGAGGGAGGCTGGATTGTGGTGCCCTCTATCCCATCCACTCCACTGTCTCTGCCTTAGATCCATCTCCCTTTCTGAATCCGCGACCCTTTCTGGCTGACACTGACTTGCTGAGAAGTGGTGCAGAGTGAAATAGACGTTCCTTTCTTGAAATATAAATATACTCGCCTTAAACATACTGTATATTCCCTTGACTTCTGTACTTGTGGCCATGTGACCGAGAGCATATGGCTCTGTTTACCTTTGCAAGAGGTTATAATCCACCGTAAAGCATGTTACCTGCTTTTGATTTTAGGTTAACCTTGACGTAATTTCTCTCTCAGAGGTTGTGTATCTTTAAATGTACACTGGAAACCTAAACAAAATTTTGTTTTTACACTTTCAGAATTAGCAGTAACCCAATTGTGTTTCAATTAACTAGGTAGTAGATAAGTAAATTCAAATGTCTTTATGTTGTCACTAGAAAGCATTCGAGTTGTCATCTTTGAACTTAGATGTTATAAAAGGTCTAAGTGAAGGAGGTAAGCAGAGTTCCCAAGTTTAAGATTTGGAGCAGGGGTGACAGTTGCAACCTTGGGGGAAATCCTTTGAGAACCTCTCTGTCTTAGAGTTTAGAAATATTCACTTTATTTGCAGGCAAGGATTTCATGCTAACTGATATAGCACTTTGTGTTTTTCAATAAGAGGGCTAAAAATGTCAAAATCTGAAAACGACAAAAACAGCTGGCACCTTTCTGTTAATTGGCCTTGCCAACACAACCAGTCTCGCAAAGAGGGTGTCATGAATTGGAAGAGTTCTGAAAGCAGGCTATTATGGTAGAGCTATACGTGTATTTCCTGTTTTCATTTTCAAACCATTGAGGAGAAATTCCTGTGATTGATAATGCTTTTTTAAAAAGACATGCCTGCAAGTTTTTAATTGTGATGGGAGAAATGTCTTGACAGAATTCTTTCTCTTTTGAGTATTACTTTGTTGTGCTTGAATTTTCCTTCATTCTTTTTACTGCCTTTGCATGGTCGTGTACTTGTTTATGGATTTCTTAATGTTAGTTTTCACTCCATTTTTACTTTTCTTCTTTGAGGTGAGTTTCCCATTGAAATGACCATTTTCACTTTTTCTGGCCATGTATCCAGGATCAAGAAAATTACAGTTTGATATATTAATGAGTGAGTAATGGAGAAGTAATTATAAGCTATCATGTCCTTTGAGAATCTTTGTTGTCTCAAACTGATTGCCTGTTCTCTGAAAAAGATAACTGTTTCTTGTACCCTTATCAATAATGGGGCAAAGGAACGATTTATGTAGTCCTTTGAGTTCTTTTTTCTTGAATGACCACATGTTGGTTTCACATCTTCAACCAGGCACCTCAACTTTACATTAAGATATTTTTGTAAATTGATGTCCTCCTGGAGTCATTACATGCCATGGCTTCAGTTCTGTAGTGGGAGTAGTTGGGTGAGATTTGCAACCATGAAGCTACAACCAGGAAGAACTACAGTGAGAACAGAAAACCAAGAGCTATAGGAGCTCTGTCCCATGTTGTCTTTTTCACCTACAGATAGATTGAAAATTCTTAGCTTGTGGGACTCTAAAAGGCTGTGCTCTTTTCATCATTCACTGCCCTTATCGGAAAGAACTATCAATGTGTCTTTCCATTCATCGCACCTTACTGGTGGAGTTAAGTATAAAGAATTTTTCCTTACTAGGAGTATGTAACGTAAATTGATCACCATGATTTGAATTGGCAAGTATATTTGATTACATACTGATAACGTTAGGGAGATCTAAGGGATAAGTTTATTTCCGTGGTGGTGAGCAGGACTTCAGTACCTGTCATTTATAGGGAAGACAATTTTGGGATCTGCCTTTTGTGATTTGCTGTTAGTGTTCACTCCCTTTTCTGAATAGTTGTTTGAAGTTAACTATAACAAAGAAATATGGTGACCTTTTGCTTTCTTTTGTTGAGATTAATTATACTTCAGTGTAATTTTTCTGAAATGTAAATGTTTCACTTGAAATATTTATAGTTTTGACACAGTGGTTTTTCAACCTTTTCTTGGTTTCTCTAAGGAAGGATTTTTTTCTTTAAGTTCTGGGGTACATGTGCAGAATGTGCAGATTTGTTACCTAGGTCGATATGTGCCATGGTGGTTTGCTGTACCTAAGTATTAAGTCCAGCATGCATTATCTGTTTTTCCTGATGCTTCCCTTCCCCCATGTCCCTACCACAGGCCCCAGTGTGTGTTGTTCCCCTCCCAGGTCCGTGTGTTCTCAGTTTTCAGCTCCCACTTATGAGTGAGAATATGTGGTGTTTGGTTTTCTGTTCCTGTGTTAGTTTGCTGAGGATAATGGCTTCCAGCTCCATCCATGTCCCTGCAAAGGACATGATCTCATTCTTTTTTGTAGCTACATAGTATTCCATGGTGCATATGTACCACTTCTTTATCCAGTCTATCATTGATGGGCATTTAGTTTTATTTTGTGTCTTTGCTATTGTGAATAGTGCTGCAATGAACATACACGTGCATGTATCTTTATAATAGAATTATTTCTATTCCTTTGGGTATATACCCAGTAATGGGATTGCTGGGTCAAATGGTATTTCTGATTCTAGGTCTTTTGGGAATCATCACACTGGTGATTCCTCAAAGAAGCACCAGTTCTGGACAATTCCTGTGACATCATCTTTCACAATGGTTGAACTAATTTACATTCCCAGCAACAATTTATTAATAAAAGCATTTCTATCTCTCCACAGCCTTACCAGCATCTGTTGTTGACTTTTTAATAATTGCCATTCTTACTGGTGTGAGATGGTATCTCATTGTGGTTTTGATTTGCATTTCTCTAATGATCAGTGATGCTGATCTTTTTTTCATATATTTGTTGGCCACATAAATGTCTTCCTTTGAGAAGTGCCTGTTCATGTTCTTTGCCTACTTTTTAATGGGATTGCTTTTTTTTTTCTTTTAAATTTGTTTAACATCTTTGTAGACTCTGGATATTAGACATTTGTGAGTTGTATAGCTTGCAAAAATTTTCTCCTATAGATTGTTTCTTTGCTCTAATGATAGTTTCTTTTGCTGTGCAGAAGCTCTTTAGTTTAATTAGATCACATTTGTAATTTTTGTTTTTGTTGCAGTTGTTTTTGATGTTTTTGCAATGAAATCTTTTCCCATGCCTATGTCCTGTATGGTATTGCCTGTATTTTCTTCTAGGGTTTTAATAGTTTTGGGTTTTACATTTAAGTCTTTACTTCATCTTGAGTTAATTTTTGTTTAAGGTGTAAGGAAGGGGTCCAGTTTCAATTTTCTGCATATGGCTAGCCAGTTCTCCCAGCAAGATTTATTAAATAGGGAGTCCTTTTCTCATTGATTGTTTTTGTCAGGTTTGTCGAAGATCAGATGGCTGTAGATGTGAATCTTATTTCTGGGTTCTCTATCCTGTTCCATTGGTCTGTGTGTCTGTTTTTGTACCAGTACCATGCTGTTTTGGTTACTGTAGCCTTTAGTATAGTTTGAAGTCGGGTAGAGTGATGCTTCCAGCTTTTTTCTTTTTGCTTAGGATTGTCTTGGCTATAAGGGCCCTTTTTTTGGTTCCACATGAATTTGAAAGAGTTTTTTTTTTTTTTTCCCCTAATTCTGTTAAGAATGTTAATGATATTTTGATGGGAATAGCATTGAATCTATAGGTTACTTTGGGCAGTATGGACATTTTCATGATATTGATTCTTCCTATCTACGAGCATGGAACGTTTTTCCACTTGTTTGTGTCCTCTCTGATTTCCTTGAGCAGTGATTTGTGTTCTCCTTGAAGAGGCCCTTCACTTCCCTTGTTAGCTGCATTCCTAGGTATTTTATTCTCTTTGTAGCACTTGTAAATGAGAGTTCATTCATGATTTGGCTCTCTGCTTGTGTGTTGTTGGTGTATAGGAATGCTTGTGATTTTTGCACATTGATTTTGTATCCTGAGACTTTGCTGAAGTTGCTTATCAGCTTAAGCTTTTGGGCTGAGATAATGGGGTTTTTCTAGATACAGATTTATGTCATCTGCAAACAAAGGTAATATGACTTCCTCTCTTCCTATTCTAATACCCTTTATTTCTTTCTTTTGCCTGATTGCCGTGGCCAGTGTTTCCAATACTGTGTTGAATAGGAGTGCTGGGAGAGGGCATCCTTGTCTGGTGCTGGTTTTTATGGGGAATTCTTCCAGCTTTTTCTCATTCAGTATGATATTAGTTGTGGGTCTGTCATAAATGGCTCTTATTATTTTGAGGTTTGTTCCAAGGAGGGATTTTTGTATCTTTCCTTAACAGTGTTAAATGTAATCAACCAGTCTTATTATGGATAAATTATATTGTTTGCAATTAGAACAAAGAAAAAGTTTATACCCACCTTCTTCTATTCTCCTTTTTTTTTGGTCACACCCAAGACACATAGATCTGTGTCCCTTCCTTTTTTCTACTTGTTTGTACCTTACTCAGAGATGTAGGATGAAGGACAGAAATAGAGATTAGGAATAACTATAGATATCTTAGAGCAGTAGTTCTCAAACATTTTAGTCTTAGGATCTCTTTACACTGAAACATTGTTGAGCACCC